TTTTAGAAGACACATGCCCACAAATCAGCATAATACTGCTGCTATGGTGTGTCTTTATGAAAAAAAACTTAATGAGCGTGGCTTTGATCGCAATAAAAAGCAAGTTATGTCCAAGATGAACGGAGGTCTGTGGCTTTCCAGGTGGTTATTGACTCATCAGCTTTTCATTTAAGCATTGTTTCTGCAGTTTCGTGGCATTATAGGATCAGTGTTGTTTCTCATGAGAACACGGTTTACAGTAGAAGAACTGGCTCCACCAGACCTGGAACAACTTGAGCTACCGTCAAAATGATCATTGCATCATTGTTGCCACATTTGGAAAGGAAAACCTTTTTTTTTTCAATTGTTTATTTATTTACTTCCAGGGGTGTCTTTATTTACATCACTGCAAATGACCCAGGAGGAAACGGCCAGTGTCAGTGGATTGAGGGACTTTGTTTGAAGGTTTCCTGCAGTAAGTTATTCCTTTGTCTGGGCCGAGCTAATAGGGAATGGGATTCAAATAGAGTCACGCTGCCTCCTGAGATCCCTCCATCCACCATCACCATGTGGAAATAAGGGAAGGTTTGAGGCCAGTCTAAATATTTGGTAGTCTTAGCAGGTTCACGTTGAAAGACACACACACACACACACACACTCACACACACATACACACGCAGTGAATGCACAAACAGGCCGAGGCTGTGAAGTTGAATGGCATAGCTCAAAGCCTTCCTCCCCCTATCCCTGCCTCTTTCTCTCTCTAAACCGCCAAACCGTTCTCCCCCTTTCTCCAGCTCAGAGGAATTCATTAACTGCCTCTCCACAGAGACACTATGGAAATCAGGCAGCTACAAAGGCAGGGAGGGAGGCAGGGAGGAAGGAGGGAGGGCCGGTGGTGGTGACAGTGGTGAATGGGGGCTATATTATCCTATTAGATGCTGGATATGTCTCGTTTCCCTCCCCTGTCATGAGAAAAACATTAATTTTAAGTGAGAAAGGAGAGGGAGAACGAAGGTGTGT